CCCCCCCGGCTGAGCCAAGAAACACATAATAATATTATACATTGGCTACCAAAAGCAAATATTTAACAAAAGACGCTTGGACATGGGATATGTAGCATGCAGTTAGTGTTCCGCATCATCACTCAACAATAATCATGTTAATAGACAGAAACAATATCACTATTCTAACGTGAGTGCTCAATACGTGCATTAGTTAGTAATTGTTGTTAACGTTATCATTTAACATGCTTTAGAGTCATGATGATGATGATGATGATGATGATGATGATGATGATGATGATGATGATGATGATGATGAGAGAAAGAGAGAGAGAGAGAGAGAGAGAGAGAGAGAGAGAGAGAGACAAAGACAGAGACAGAGAGAGAGACAGAGAGAGACAGAGAGAGAGAGAGAGAGACAGACAGACAGACAGACAGAGACAGAGGCAGAGAGAGACTGAGAGAGAGACAGACAGAGAGAGACAGAAAGAGAGATAGAGACACAAAGATAAAGGAGGAGAGACGAAGATGAAACGGGGAGAGAGAGAGAAAGAGTGAGACAGACAGACAGACAGACAGACAGACAGACAGACAGACAGACAGACAGACAGACAGACAGGCAGACAGACAGACAGACAGACAGAGAGCTTTGGCACCAACGTGGTTCAATTCAAAGTTCTGACGAAGTACTTTACCGCTCATATCAAAACAAAAATCTACAAAATATCAAAGCGTTCAAAGCTGACGTGTGCAGCCGTCTTTGTGCTAATGCAAATCACATGGTATCCATGCTGGGAGAATACACAGCAGTAGAAGAACTAGAAAAAAAAGGGGTCAACTTTGACTTTTAACCATTTCACCCCTGCAGGTGGGCCCAGAAGCACGAATTATTATTATTAATGAGTTTACATCATGTGTGTGTATTTGTATATGTGTGTGTGTGTGCGTGTGCGTGTGTGTGTATGTGTGTGTGTGTGTGGTGTGTGTGTGTGTGTGTGTGTGTGTGTGTGTGTGTGTGTGTGTGTGTGTGACATACGTGTGTAATGTCACCAGTCCTAGAAAAAAATTAAACTATTTAAAGCTCTCGTGCCAAAACTCTCCTGAGTCTCTTCGTTCTGAGTTATGCAAAACAGAAACGCGTATTAAGGGTAGACTTTGATGAGATGTAAACATACGCATGCAACATATTTCCAAAGCCAAATTTATGAACAACGGGTTAGTGTCTTAACAGGAGCATTACGTGATTTAATATTAGTGTCTAATATTCACCATACCTTCATGATAATGGTGGTGCTCAAAATATTTTCTTTCCCTTGCTTTGAAAGTTTAAATACTTTTTCACGTCCCTTCTTTGTCTGTCTCACAACCCGTCCTCCTCCTCCTCCTCTCTCTCTCTCTCTCTCTT